TTTATAATATATTTATATTATTTATATATATATATTTATAATATATTTATATATACATGTATATATATATTTATATATTTAGTAATTTATTTTTATATTAATTTCATTAATATAATTTTTTGTAGCATGTGATAATGAAGTACTTTATAGAATGTATTCAAAATCCTTCATGGAGAACAGAAGAGCGCAATGTGTTGAAAAAATTATGTTCACTTTATGGAGCAGTCATTTTAGAAAAAAGATTGGGCGACTTTTATGCTGGTGGTTACGCGTCACCCAAAAGTAACATGGATAGATTATTACGAGAAGGAATTATAATTTTATGTAAAGAATTAGTTCGAGAGGCAGTAGCGTTAGTCGACGTATTGGCACCACCAGATTTTATATTAAATTCTTCATTAGGAATGTCCGATGGTCAAGTGCGTTATTTTGTCTCAAATTTCTTTTGTTTTAAATTTCATATTTTTTGAATCTATAATTATCTAAATCTATTTTGTATATAGGTATATGAACATATCAAAGAAGAAATATTCAAAGTCAAAGAAAACTTTGAACGGCCATCATGGTGGAGAGAAATAGTACGATCAAAATTATGACATGTACATAACATATAATTAATATTTTTTGTTATTATATTTTTTAATATTTTCTATTATATAAAAATTATACATTTGGACAATAAAAACTTATTACAAAATTTTGTCATAATTAACTAATTAATTTCTTATATGTTTATCATTAAGTACTTGAAAAATGAGTGGTAAATTGTAATAATATTATAATTCTGTATGTCTACTAACCGTGATTAAAGCTTTATCTGCTTCTGCAAACCATTCATTATAAACCACTTGAGGTTCAATCATCCAAAACTTATGGAATGATATAGGCTCTTGTGAAGCAAGATAGGCAGTTGCATAGTCCGAAGGACGAGCCTGTAATAAATATATTACATTCTGAAATTACTTTTATTATTTACTATTATTTTAAATAAAGCAAATAATTTCATAAAACACACTTGATGTAACATTGGTGAATGTACTACTTGCATCTTCATTCGCGCTAAACATATTCCAAAAAGGTACATATCATCTGGAGTTGTAGATGATGGACAATTACATCTACCGGATTCTATCATTTTATGAACTAAAGGTGCAGATAAAGCAACACCTGCTCCACCTGTTAAATATTCATATCCGTAAGCACTATCCCAAAGTTGAAAACCATATCGTTCTCCAATAGCAACTGTAGATTTTGAATTGTAGCATGTTAATAAACGTAACATGCGTGCCACGCTAATATGTAAATAATGTTATATTAATATTCATCATTAAATTGTACATACTATATGTTATTAAACAAACATAAATACCTAAAGATCGTATCATCATCACTGATTATTAACCAATCTAAATTTTTCCTTCTCAATATTTTATCTGCTTCTATTAAAATACTGTATGTTTTTGCACAATGCCCTTGTGTTGTATTTGGTACAATGAAAGTATCTGGTAAATGTTTATCTACACTAGAAAGAGACATATCATTTTACTAGTAATTAACTTAATTATTTATTTAATTAATTATCTAATAAAAGTGATTGTACCAACAACATCACTAAAGTAACCGATATTTGTAACATATTTTGCCCATGTCTTTTTAATCACAGGAATCCTTTCAACATGAAATTTTGCACAAGTTTTTACAGCAAAATATACATTTTCAGTGGTCACAGATGAATCCTTCAATTAAAATAAAGAATTATCATCATTATAGGAAATTATAATTTATAACTATATTTACATTAACTTACACATGGCTGAAAAAATCTTGGATATGTAGCACAGTTAGAACTAGATATAATACATATTTCAGGTACGTGTGTTAATCGTACTCCTTTATCAATTTTTAATACAAAAGATGCAAATTCATATAATGCATCAATTGAGAAATCATCTTTAGGTTTACCATCTTCATTAATTTTATGTACTAAACTGAAAAAATAAAATTTATATCACGTATATAATTGAAATTTTAAATTATTTGTAATTTTAAAATTACATTTTAAGATGAGACATATATAACATACTTATTTAACAAAGTTGAGCTTACTGCAAAACCTGAAGCTATATGAGGATATTTAAATTTCTTCTTATGCTCTGCAAAATGATGTATGATAGTTGGTTCTTGATCATATAATGCATGACCAATCCATATATTCTAAAACAAACATTGCTTAGTAATATAACTATTCTAAAAATAATTATATTTTTGAATAAAAATTTAAAAGGGCATACTTTATTTTCTTTGTACTTAGAAAGAACACCCAATAGTTTACTCAATCTAATTGCAGTATTCTCCAGACAAATAAAGAACCATTTTGAAGCAGGATATGTATCTGATAAATGATTCAGAATTGGTATTATTGTCCAAGATCCATTAATATTCAATTTATGAGACAAAATAATTTTGGGAGGATCCTAATAAAAAAAAAAAATTAAACATTTTATACAAAATTATATTTCGTATATAGTAATAGAAAGAATTTTAAATATAATAGAAGTATTTAATTATATTTCACTGCGCATACCTTATCAAGGGCATCTGCTTGTTCAAAAATATTTTTTTTTAACCTTTCAGCTTGTGCTATGTGATAACCTTCTTTTTGATCTAATATTACAATAACTATATCACTGGGTTCTGTAAGTATATTTTACTTATTTATATTTGATAATAGATTAAAGAGTAAGTACCATGTAACTTACCTAAACCATTTACATCAGTTTTACCCACAAATAATATAAAAAATACAAAGAACATGGAACATTTGAAATACATTGTTTCTAAAAATTCAAGTTAATTACTATACTCTTCAATAAGAAAAAAATTAAAAATTTTTAAAAATAAAAATATTCTCTCGTACTAATTTAGAGAGACTAAATTATTTTTTCTAATAATTTCTTATTTTTAAGAAAAACTATATAAATTATAATTTATTTTAATATTTATAAAAATTTTCACTTTAATAATAAATAATTTCAATATTTGAGTGTTTAATAGAATAGGTTTTGAATTCTGACTGATTGATAATATATGAAACCATGTAATTTATAATTCAAGATATATGTAATGTATTTCAAATACAGAAAATCAGAAATATTTCTGTACATTAGAAATATTAGAAATATAATTAATTTGAATATCAAATATATTAACAAATTTTTATGTAAATTCACCGTTAAATTCTTTTATTGAAATATCCTCCATGACGAAATATCTTCACATGCACATGCGCGCACGTATAGAAAGTATGGTATATTATATGCTAAAAGTACATAGTATCAATACTAATACAATAGTAATAACAGTAATAAAAATTTATTTACATTTTAAATATTTTCTTAAAAATTAAATTTACTTTCGATGATAGTTTTTATTTCATATATAATAATCTCAACATAAAAATATTTTAATCTTATTTTTTATTTCAGAATATCGTTTATTTTACTAGTGTTAATTGATAGGAAACAATTATTTAATCCTTAATCGTAATTTTACTAAAATTAAAATTAATATATTTTGTACAATGATACACACTAAGTTATTTAAAAATATAATTATTTTCTCATTTGAATAACTTAGAAACTATCATATATTATATATTGTCTAAAAATATTTTATATATGAAATTTTTTTTATAATTTATATAAATATTACTTTATATACTATTACTAAATAATACTTTATATAAATATACAAAAGTTTAAAAAAAAATATTATACAACATATATTTTTCTATAGAACACCTAAAATTCATATTTAGATAAGAAGTTATTTATTCATATTCAAAATTGTTTGCATAATATTTTATTAACTGCATCGTGTTTTCCACTTCTTTTCTATATAATGAACAGCTTTGAAATATTAAACAATTTATGAAGATAAATATTTTCTGCCATATAATTGTGCCTTTTTCTCAAAGCCAATAGATTTAATAGGTGTATTTAATTTATAAAATGGATTCATAGAGTACTAGAAAAAAGAGATGAAAAGTTTATTATATAATTTCAATAAAATATCATATAATTTAATATATATATTTTTACCTTTATGTACATTTCATACATTTCATTAAAGAAATTTTTTATACCATCTTCATTCTTACTATCATGTACCATAACAAATCGAATATGAGTTGCAGTAACAAATGCACTCACAAACCATTGATTAAACTTATCTACGACTTTTAAATGCATATTTGTTGTTTTCCAAGTATGTTCATCTACAAGATCTAGAGCAGCATGTGCAATGAATTGGTTTAAATGGGTATAATCTTCTTTCTGTTGAAAATTCAATAATGTAAATGACAACATTTTTATATTACACATATATTTTCTTATATTGCACACAATTAACAAACAATTTTATCATATATCACTTAAACATAACCTATAAAAATTATGAACCTTCGAATCTTTCCCAGAATTGTTGAATTCAATTTCAAATAAAGGATTATCAGCATGTCCGACGATTGCAAAATAATAGTTAGCTGTCATTTTGTTAACTGTTTGATATATTTCAATTAAACTTCATTTTCATACATCAACACTTCTCCACTGTCACATAAGTACTTACAGTATTACTACATTAATGTAAAAAAAACTGTTCTAGATCTGATAGGTATAGTATTATACATAAATAATTTTTACAGCAGTATGAAAATCAAATTTGTATATTTCATTTATATTTTTAAATTTGTATTCTCCAGTAAGAAATTTACATAATGTTCTCTACACATATAAAAAGTAAATGTATATTAGTCACGTGATATTAACTAAACTAACGTACTTACTAAACTATAGTTTATAATGTATATATATTGTATTATATATTATGTATTATAAAAATTCATTTTTGTTGTAATATATTTTACATAGGTAAAATTTTAAGAAAAGGAAGTATGAGTTGTAACAAATGACTTATTTAATCCAATTTAATTGTAGTTATAAATACATGTTAAGTTGAGCAATTTGATTTGTCTATTAATTATTATCAAATATAACACGACTTTTAACTTTCATATATAAGCACAAAAAAAAAATATTTAGATATCGTTTTATTATATATAAATAGCTCAATATTAAAAAAATATCACCAATTTTTTCGTAAGAAATATCTATATTATATGTAACATTTGAATAAAATATATAATTTAATATTTTCTGATAATTTGCAATGACTTTCTAACAAGATAATAAGAATTAATACATAAAATATAATATTATATAAATGAAAATATAATAATTCCATTTATTTATTTGTTGAGTAGTTTAAGAAACTACAATCTGATTCTAATAAATTTATATTAAATAATTAATTAAATCTTGAAAATATTTAAAAGAGAATCATTATTAATTTATTTATTAATCGTCTTTTAGTAATAGTTTACAGAATAATTTAGAAACTAAAAACATCATTAACATGCTTAGTAGAAAAACTGCAAAACATTTTCTTTTATGTTAAATTTACATTAAATTCTAGTAAAATAAATCATTATTCGGAAAATTCTTTTATATTCGTTATACCGTATTACTTCTAGGTCTGAGGTTGCAATTAATTAAAAACCAAGCTGTTTCTGAAAGTTAGCAGAATGAAGTATAGAAAGTACTAAATATGCATAGAGTGTAAAGACAAATAATTAATTTCAGATAACAATAATACAATTTGTACACATATCTAGAAGAAAAGAAAAAAGATAAAATACAATATTTGCATTTGAATGTGTTATTTAGAGAGAATATCACGTTGTATGTAAGTTGTAAATTCAATATTTTATCTAAACGTTTGAATCAATCTTTTGTAAAAAGATTGTTTTATTTCAGTATTATCACTTATCAGTAATCATGAATTCTGTCGAGTTAAAGACAACCCACGAATCTGCTTACGTACCTCTTAATGTAAGTATGCAAGTAAGCATTTCAATACATATTTTGTAAATTTACAAGCTACACGATTACAACGATATACAATAACGTAAAAGATATAAAATATATGAAATCGAAACGCTACTGAAGTGTTTTTTTAATAATTCTACTAGATTCTTCGGTGTTATTTATTTGTATATTAAACTCTATTAAATATTTTATGTGTACTATTTTTATAATACTATATTTCTCTGTGTTTATTCAATTTCATAATAAAATAAGATAATTTTTTGTGTTAATTTAATGTATAATTCATGTAATTCATTCAAACTTAAGATACATTAATAATTTACGAGTTTAATTTTTTTCCTTTATTTACTTTTATTTGTACGTTGTACAACATTTATGTATGACCATGACTTCATATTGCATATATGTAAACATATGAATATAAAATCTTGTATTAATGTAATAATTATATGACAGTGCATTGTTTAATGGCATATTAAAGTATGTTATTATTTTGTATATATATAATATGGATTATTTAGTAAAGTGTGTTAACAGCTAATAATATTTAATAACAAATAACATTTTTTAATATAATTATATGTATATATTTATATATGTGTCTATTTTTATGAACGACATTTAATTTCACTGTATCAAAACTTAGACTAAGAAAGTATCTTTTGAAAGTTATCACAATATACTGTAGTTACATTATTGTTACTATTATTAATTTAATTTATATCTTATTTTCAGAAACGATGTTTTAGAATATATAAGAATATTATAATATAAGAATATTATATTGATAAGAATATCAATGTAAAGAATTTCATTTAAAAAAATCACAGATTACAATAGTGATACTGATTTACTTAATGAATAAATTTTAAGAATGGCCAGGATAATTATTATGGACTTGTACTCATATCTACAGAAATTTTCAAGTATGTATATTTTAATATTATTATTAAAGCTATAATAACATATTAGAAAAACTTACATTATTCTGTTTCATTATTGCTCTTATTTTGTTTCATATAATTAATTATAATTAAAATTTTTTATTTTATATTGTATTATCTATCTGAAAATATCTTATCTGTAAAAGGTAAGATATCTTATCTAAGATTATTTCTATTTCTAATGAGTATCTTGTGTTGCAGTAATTTGACATAACTAAAATACATGTAATATATATTTGTGAATGCTGACAAATGGAAATAAAATTATGTTGGCTACAGTATTTTAGCTGAATAATAAAATTGCTTACTTTTATTATATATCATGGTTCGACAAAGATTTCCAAACATTAATGGTAAATTGATATCAAAAAATAATTGAGCTTTCATTGTTGAGTAATAAAACTGTAATACTTTTTTTTATGTAAATGTTATTCTGTATATAGGTCTTAGAAATGGTAAGCATTTTGTATTAACTCTTGTTACGGGTGTAGTTTTTGGATTTATCTCAGCGTGCCTTTTAATAACATCTACAAGAAATGTGCCATATATATATAACTGGTTTTCTGATAGTTTTATGCTTTCAAGAGATCCACATCATTACTCAGAATTGGAGTCAGAGGTAATTGCTTTATATTTTGTTTTTTTTATACTTGTTTTATATTTTATATTCAGTTTTTAATAATAATAATAATAACAACAACAACAATAATAATAATAATAATAATAAATGTTATAGGTTGGACCTGAAATAGAAGTAAAATTTCATGGTAAAGATGAAGATTTTCATAAAAATGAAGATAAAGTTGCACAAGAACTTGCAAAAAAAGTACGTGTTCTCTGCTGGATCATGACTGGTCCAAAAAATCACCAAAGTAAAGCACAGCATGTGAAAGCAACATGGGGAAAACGATGCAATATTCTTTTATTTATGAGCTCTGCTGAAGGTAAATTTTACTTTTGTAATAAGATAATAAAGCAATTCAAAAAAACAATTTTTAATCTTTCCAGATGCAAATTTACCTACAGTTGTCCTGCCAGTAAAAGAAGGAAGAGATAATTTATGGGCAAAAACCAAAGAAGCTTTCAAATATGCTTATGATAAGTACAAAGATGAGGTTGATTGGTTTATGAAGGCTGATGATGATACGTATGTAGTTTATTGAAATTGCAAATTTTAAGTCATAGACATTTAATTTGAATCTTTTGATGATTTATATAAGATCTGGCTAAAATTATATTACAATTACAAGAGATTTATAAGATGGACTTTTAGAGTAATATGTTAGTTATGTAATTGTTGAATGAAAAATTTATCTGTTAAAATGTTTTCAGATATGTAGTGGTAGAAAATCTACGATATATGCTGTCATCTTATGATCCAAATTCACCATTATATTTTGGCTGTAGATTTAAGCCATTTGTGAAACAGGGATATATGAGCGGTGGCGCAGGATATGTACTTAGTAAAGAGGGTTTACGGAAGTTCGTAGAGGAAGCTTTACCTGATAAAACAAAGTGTCGGTCAGATAATGGAGGTGCAGAAGATGTGGAAATGGGAAAGTGTTTGGAAAAAGTAAATGTCAAAGCAATGGATACTCGGGATCCACATGGTCGCGGAAGATTTTTCCCTTTTGTACCAGAGCATCATTTAATTCCTAATCATGTAGATAAGAATTTCTGGTACTGGAAGTATATTTATTATGATACCAAAGATGGTCTAAATTGTTGTTCCGATAGCGCAATTTCGTTTCATTACGTATCGCCTAATATGATGTATGTTCTTGAGTACTTAATTTATCACTTAAGGCCGTACGGTATTACGCACGGTATAGAACAACTTACAACACATCAGTCAACCACTGTACTGATTGAATACTAGTCTATATACTAATCTTTAATTGAAATATGAAAAAAAAATTCTGTTCAAAAAAAATTTCCAAACAAATATTAAAATTAAAAAAAGAATATTTTGAATCTTAATAAATAAAAATTGAAAAATCTTACATTAAAATGGTTTGTTAAAATTATTTTCTGTGTAAATTAATCGTAAAAATTATTCATGACAGATTTTCATTTAATTATTTAAGAATTTGGAAATTCTAAGTACTGCACTTTTAAATTTTTCATTGACTTAACTAAGCGATATTAATTGTTTTTTTATTTTATTTCCAATGAGTATAACTAGTCCATTCAGGCCAACGAATTAGATGTTAATATATTCACTGAAAGATAAAATTTGTGGTATATAATATTTCGTAATATATATATAATATTTATACATACCTATATATGTAATGATGAAAAATTTACTATTTCATTGTATGAGCGAGAAAGGGTGTATACTGTTTTATAAATAAATGTTACAAGCATATTAGAAACATTATTAATCATTAACATTATTAATTACTGGTATTTTTTACTATTTTTTCCAATAATCTCATTATACATATATGAATTTCTAAAACAAAACTTAATGTAATTTTAATCAAATACTAATGAAATGAAGTATTCTTCTACAATGAGAGAATTTATAACGAATTTTATATTATTCTGAAGTTCTTAATTTTTACTAATAAATAAATATTTCTTTAAAAAAAGAAAAGAAAAAATTATATAATAATTTGATTTACTATTGTCAATTTATAGTAATTTGTATCTTATGAGAATGAGACTATTAGAAATATCACATATAGTTATATATACTTCAAATAGTAATAAACTTTATGAGAAATGTTCATCTATTTCCATTATGCTTGTAATATCAAAACTGTAAGCATACACATTCTTCGTGTGAAATGAGGTATATAATTATATATACACATAAAACTGTATTTCGTAATATTAATATAATAATGGTAATAATAATAATTAATAATAATTAATAATAATCCCAATAATGATGTTCTACCCAGATAATAAATACTATAGATACAGTGTGAGTGTGGTGTGTGAGTAAATTAACCAATTAACTTTATAAGGGGGAGAGGATTAGGGGTTGCTATGTACAAGTCATATTTGTACTATGCGACTGACGCAATTAGCCACCATCGGCTTCCATTCAGACGCGCCCTGTATTCTTTTCTCTTGTCTTTTTATTTTTTTTCTTATATACTTCTCGTTTTATGTTCGCGCGCTCATTTTGTTTGCATGTGAAATCATTTGTTTTTCCTAAGTTACAGGGAACAAACCTCTCTGTACCCTCCTTTCATTTTCTTTTATTCTCTCGCGCTCTTTTCGTTCACTCTCAATTATCTAATATCTCGGCGATGTCTCTCACTTCATAAATTATTTAAAAACAATATTTTACACTATTAATGTATGTATAATATATAGAGGTCACCTAATTTGAATAAAATTTTTCAAACAGCATCGAAAAATTGCGCTAATGGGTCCAGGAAACATGATAACAGTGACCCAGTGCCGCGCGAGCATAATATAATTATAATATATAATTATCGTACTTATCTCACACCAGGGGCTTGTACGAGGCATTTTTGCTTGTAAAAAAGAAGTATATCGCCTCCCGTTTTCCGTTCTTCTTTTTTCATTTATATCATCTATATAAAATTAAAAAACAACGTAATATTATTTATATTACTTCGTCGTTATTAATAATAAAAGCTTTGTACAAAATTCAATTTACAATTAAAAACGTTTTGGTTATGTAATTTTCTAGAGATTCTGATTTATAATTGAACTATCTACCGACAGAGAGGCAATTATAAGTTAACTTCTTAGCGCGTTCACATTTGTTTCTACTTTTCTTTCCTTTTATACGCGCACTCGTTCTTTCCTTTTTCCTCTCTCTCACATTCTCTCTTTTATTCACTTTCGTTCTCTCACATATTCACACGACTCTATCAATCTCTCACACGTGTAATTCTATCTCCCATTCATTAAATTCCATTTGGTATGCGGCAATATACGTGTATCATTAGTAAATATTTCATGTTATCTTATTTTTTGTTTTTCGCGATTACTGAAAAACATAAAGTACGATCTATCAAACTTGTTTTTTCTCTCTTCGCCTGCCGAATTACACGAATAGAAAAACGTTAAAAAGAATTACTGTGCATCGGTAATCATAAAGTTTATGCTACGATCACTGCCATCGTATTAATTTAAAAAAGAATTCGGTAAAAAAAAAGATCAGTGTTTCGTATTGGAGGTTTATCGATTAATGGTCGAAGGATCGTTTTCTCCCAGTCTCCCAGAAAATCTCAAAGTCTCTAACGAACAGTTGAAGACGGATGTAGGAAACCAGTTGCTCTCGTAAAGCCCCAAGTGACGGTATGGTAAAGGAGTGCATGAAAGAGGTGCACATACTGCACTACGAAACAAGAAGGTGTGGGTCAGACGAGAGCTGCCGCTGCATGGTAGAGCTGCATGAGCGCTTGCACGTGCACTGGCAAGCAGGATAGACGATCCTTCGTGTTCGCATCCACTGCGAGCCACGATAGTGCATTGTATCCTTCCAGCACATATCTACAAAATATTAGTAATGACAATTAATAAGAGTATACATTTCGATATTTATAAATAAGATATTTATAAATAAGTTGTATTGAAGAATGCGATTATTGAGCAAGACAAAATAAGCCTATAAAAACAACAATATAAACCTGAGCACATCGGTGGTATACTGTGAGTCTAATGGGTGAGCAGTGAGTGCACTTTGTTGCTGCAACAGATCATCACTGTTCTGCTGTATTGCTGGACTATGTAAATGTAAGGCATTCTTCAAAAAGACTGGGCAAACACCCTCCAGATGGGGACAGGCTGACCAAAACCATGGTGGCATTCGTCCAGTTGGTGCGGTAGATACCAAGTAACCAAGAGCAAGTGGTTGTTGCAAAAGCGTGCCAACTTCTTCTGCTTGTTCAGCAACTGCCACCTATCAATTATAAATATAATATAGCCAATTTAATACATATTTACAATCATGTAATGTATTACAATCATGTATACACATATAACTTACTCTTGGTGTATTACTACATGGAAATGGACTACCAGGACCATCGTGATTGCCTAATCCTGAACCACCACCGTCTCCACCTAATGGAGATCCTTCAGGGCGATGTGGACTACCACCAGGACTTTGTCCTCCACCAGCACCAGCCTCTGGCCATACATTGAAGATGTCATTGAAATCTCCCATGCCTTCCATACCTTCTGGCATATCATCGTTTAGTGCAGAAAATAGTTCATCATCTCCTAACTCTGGTCCATTAATATGCTGCTCCTGAAATGCAGTCTGTGATGACTGTAGTAGAGAAATAATTATTGTTAGACATTCAGTTTCATTTAGATTCTTTCTCTTAACCCCTTGCCTTATAACATTGAATAAGACTGGTGATACAGGTTTTGTATTAAACATGAGAAACAAGAGTCCTGTTCATGGTATGTATTATGGACCAAACTTGACAAACACGAACTAGACTCGTGATTCAGCTGTTGCATTTTTTGTTATTTTTCTATTATACTATTACTTGTTCTATTATATTATAAAGTTTATAAAAAAATATCTATTCATTTGATGTTCTATATAAGAATTAATGTATGAAAATCTCTCATTATTATTTTTTCCATATGACCGAAAAAAATTAAGCAACTTTGGGCTGGATAAATCATAAGGCAAGGGGTTAAACACAAAAATTTACCTGTGTAGTAGCAGAAGTAGGAAAGACGAGGATATGAGTACACGTAACATCTTGTGGTGTAGATAATTGGCAGTTTACTGACGCTTGACTAAACCTTTCATCAGGTGTGAACTGATCAGCCATAAGCCTGAGAGTTGAATCTGGTTCAAGAGAAACTAAACATGCGCTAAGCACACAAGGTGCTGCTGACGGATATAAAAGACTGCATTGGCCACATATTTCTTTAAGATGTTTAGAAGCTTTGAGAAGTGCTTTTCTGGATAGCAACCAGCTCCAACCTTTCAGCTCACCATGTCCAATACGTCCCACACGACCTACTACTAGTCTCCAAGGTTGTACCTAAGTATAAAAATGTTTAATTCGATTATTTTAATTTCATTATATTTCGATTATTTTTATTCTTTATCGACCAGTATCTTAAATTACATTTAGTATCTTAAGTGAATTACTTACACCCTGAGACATTACACCAAGTATGAAATCCATCAATTTTTGTAATCCAATTCGTCTAGCTGAGGCGCGTTTTCTTCTTTTTCTATTCGGTATATCAATATTGATAGTAGCTGTTTCAAATATTTCACCCCTGTCATCAGTTGCAACCGCAAGCAGCCAAGATTGATCTTCGCTGAGACAGTAGCTTAGATACAAAACCGCACACTCTTCTGGTCCAGCGATGCCGAAAGATTCCGGTGCTTCACTTTTCGCTCGTAGAGGAGCCAAGACGTACGCTGGCGAATACAACCGGTACGGGGTTCTGTTTCGTTCCTGATGTATAGTTGCAAGAGTATTACTATAAGACTGAAAATGATCGAGTCATGGCCTGTTTATTATTTACTATTTTCATCATTTTAAACGGCACACGGGCAACGCGGTTGACTATTTTTAGGAAATAATTTAACACAAAATATAAAACTGGATCTTACATCTTTACTCTTAAGAAAAATATCTGCCGCGGCAGCGGTACCAAAACCAGTAAGACTTTTCACTGTTGAATTATGATTCAGTAGTCGACGTCCCTGTAGAAACACGTTCAATGCTAAAGCTCTCATCTCATCCTGTATTTTACGCCTTTCTCTAGCTCGACCTAACTCCATTATACTTTCCAAGGATATTATCTAAACATAAAAATAAATCGGAAATAAATTAGTAAGTCGCCTGATTTGAAGCATAGTGCATAAAATGTTGAACATCAATCCTCTATAATATACGAATGTAATTATAATAAAAATGTTTTTATTATATTATGAAAAAACATGTATGTATTTAGCGCCAAATATTTCTTCTCGTCTCCATTGCTTGAAGTCTTTTAACAAAACGTAAAAAAATTACAATTTAGTCTTACCTGAACATTAATATTGGATCTAATGTTTTCAGGCATGCTATTAACTGCTGTCGAATATGCACGTAATAAAGCTAAAATAGCAAGTCTTCGTCGGTCGGGATCTTCAGGACCTCCCAATGAGAAAGGTTCTACTAGGTAAACAACTATAGCTGGAGGCTCGACTTCCTCTTCATCTGGACCCGATGTTGTATTAGTATGTATTGTGGCAGTTTGCGAAGTTGGTGTCGTATTACCGGTATTAGAATTACTATTTGTTGCTGTGTTCGACGATGGAGTTTCACTCCTGGGATTTTCTCCTTCTGAAAATGTGCAAATTTTACATATAAATGGTAAATTAATTTCTAAACAAATGATAGTTTAACCGCAGTGCAATTAAAATACTTGATAAACAAGCATACCAACTGATTCTGGTTTGTTTGTCATTACATCAGGTGTGGTTGGCATTGTGTCAGTAACAGGAATAGTTGTTTGCTGCTGCTGCTGTTGTTGTTTGTTAGTTGATTGCGAATCTCCGGGATCTAATAAACTTCGATCTTGAATAACTTGCGTTAAATATGGAGCTAATCGATGATTACAGACTTGGGCATATAATCTTAATAATTCTCCTAATTGATTTTCTCCTAGAAGTTTAAACCAATCGTCTATTGGTTGTTTGACTTGTTTCTGAATAGATGCTTTTCCAACACGAAGAATACCATCACGTAATGCTTTTGAAATAGGTGTATGCCTTCCTAACCGACAAATCTGAAAAAAAAATCATAACATTGGAATCAAAGATAAAAGCATACATAATATTTTATGTAAAATCTATTTACTTACTTCATATGTAGTTGATAGTTCACGGAAAAATG